GGAGGGGCTGGAGCGTGTCCAGAGAAGGGCAAGGAAGGTGGGGAGGGGTGTGGAGCCCCAGGCTGCTGAGGAGTGTCTGGGGAGCTGGGGGTGTTGAGCCTGGAGAAGAGGAGGCTGAGGGGAGACCTTATCGCTGCCTACAACTGCCTGACAGGAGGGGGGAGCTGGGGTGTTGGTGTCTGCTCCCAGGGAACGGGCGATGGGATCAGGGTTAACGGCCTCAGGTTGTGCCAGGGCAGGTTTAGGTTGGACATGGGGAACAATTCCTTCCCCGCAAGGGCTGTCAGGCCCTGGAAGGGGCTGTCCAGGGAAGGGGTTGAGTGCCCATCCCTGGGGGCGTTCAAAAAACATGTAGACATGGTACTTGGGGACATGGTTTAGTAGGCTTGGTGGTGTTGTGTTGACAGTTGGACTTGATCTCAGTGGTCTTTTCCAACCTTAATGATTCTGTGATTCTATGGAGACCTCTTGGGTCTTCTGGGGCACAGAGGAGGTGGCTGGGAGGCAGCTCCTGCTCTGAACTCCGCCAGGCCTGGGAAGAGTCCAGCTGAGAAGCCAGCTCCCCCCTGTGCTGTCCCTGCAGGACGTCCTGGAGTTGGCCTTCTCCATTGTGTATGACGTGGAGGAATACTGCCTCAACTTCATTGCCCCCACCCGCTACGAGGTGAGCTCCAAGGGCCTGCTGGGGAGCCATGCTGCGGCCAGACGTCCTTGCTAGGGGACAGGGGTGGGAATGGGAGTTGTGTGTGTCCCCCTTGGCCCACCTGCCTGGGCTTCCCTGGGGTGGGAGCCACAGGGCGGAGAGAGGTGGGCTCTCCGGCTGCCCAGGGCTGGTGCCAGATGCCCATGCTCTGCTTCCCCAGTTCTGCCTCTGGACAGATGGGCTGAATGTGCTCCTGGGCAAGGAGATGACGAGCGAGCGAACGCAGACGGACCTCGATGTCCTGCTGTCCATGGAGCTCAAGCTGCGGCTCCTGGACCTGGAGAACATCAGCATCCCTGACACCCCCCCTCCCATCCCAAAGCCTCCCAGCAACTTAAACTTCTGCTATGACTTCCACCACGCAGAGCAGTGAGTTTCTCCCTGTGCCCTGTCCCTCCCCCCCCTACAGTCCCCAAAATCAAACCCCTTCCTCCAGGCTCTGTCCTCCATCTCCTGCCCGAAGGGACGAGCCCAGGTGCTGGCTGGGGGCTTGGGTGAGCGCTGCCTGCACCTTGCCCACCCTGGGGCAAACTGCTCCCCCTTCCCTGCCTGCGTCTTGCCCTCCTGCGAGAGCACAGGGCTGAGCCACCAAGCATCAGGCTCCTGCTCGAGGCGGGTGACCCAGCTGCTTTGACCCCCCACCATGGGCAGGCGAGATGAAATACTTTCCAGACAGCCGAACCCCTCCACACCGCAGCCAGGCTTTGGGCAGAGAGGGCAAAGGATGCAGGCAGGAATAAAGGTGCAGGCAGCCCTGGGACAGCTGGAGGGGGGCTGCACTACAAAGGTACAAATCTGCACTGCCTGGCTCTCCCTGTCAGCCTAGGGGATCCTTTCTGGCCAAGAAAGGGGTTAGGAAAAGGATAAAATCCCCTTTCCGCTCAGTGGGGTGAGCAGCTGGTATCTCCGGAGCACAGTGTGCCTGCCCAGCCAGGCCCGTGCCACACTGAAATGTTTTTCTGCTGAGCGATGAGTGCTCCTGCTCCTGGAAGGCGGGTGTTTAGGGTACAAGTCCCCTCTCCCAGCGCCATTTCAGCTGGGCAGGGGCTCGCTGCCGCTGTGCCTGGTGTGAGGAGGAGACCCCAGTCTGCCCTTGCTGCCTGGCGCTCGTGCCCATCCTGGTGCCTTCACCCACCGCAGGCAGGTACTTGCACACTTCAGCTGTGCTGCTGCACTACTGCACCACGACGAGCTACCTCCTCCCTGGCCCCCACTGCTCCCACCCTGGTGCCTCCTCGTGCCTACAGCTTCTCTATCGGGTGTAGCCGGTGACTGCAGCTGCAGGTTGCTGGGACTCTGACCGTGCCTCTGCCTCCTGCGTACTGGGACAATAAACACTTGTGGAGAACTCGGGGCCGTGTCCTTTCCAAAGGTTTGGGGAGAAGGCTGGCTGTGGGCAAGAAAGGGGCCGAAGTGGGCAAGCTGGGGCTGTGCTGTGGCACAGAGCATGAAGAAGCCTGGAGGATGGCCAGCAGGAAGGATTTGTTCCTACTGTTGAGTGGAGGAGCAGGTGAGGGGTGAAGTCACCTCCCAGGGAGGTGGCCATGGAGCTACAGCTAGGGCTGTGTCTGGCAGAGGAAGGCTGAGGAGCACTGCAGACGGTCCTGGTAACAGGTCGGAAAGGCTCAGCTCCTGTGAGTGGGCCTGGAGCTTGGGGAGCAGCGCCCTGGATATAAAGGAGCTGTTTGCAAGGAAAAAGGAGGCTGGCGAAGGCGCTCTCTGTGCGGCTGCTGCCCC